AAGTGTGGAAAATTAAAACCCACTCGTCCCCGCCGAAAAAGAATACAACACAATAAAAAAGAAAAGACGAGGCGAGGCGATGGCAGGCGATGCCTGACATGAGCCCGAAGGTAACACAATACTCCAGGCAGGGCAGCAACTACTTAAAATGCAATTATATGCATTATTATTCGGCTGCCGGGCGAGTATTTCTGTACACAAATACGCAGAATGAGCCCATGGTGGGGGAGCAGGGGAGCAGCGGTGGGGAAAATGGGAGACGACGAGTATTTAAATGCCCACCTCAGCTACTAATTATTACCAGGAAAAACTCTTGAAATTGACGTTTCATTTTGTGCGGCGGGGCCCGTCAACATCCCATTCCCATTCCCATTCCCATTCCCATTCCCATCGGGATGGAGCTGAGGAGCTCAGCGGTCCGACTCTCCAGACCGCCTGGTTTCACTCAAGAAGGCCGGGCCAGGAACACAACAAATCCAGAACGGGTACTCGGTGAACGCCGATCGGCGTGATTGTGCACATCGAACTGCAGGCAACAGGGAACAGATTAAGGCACTCCAGAAATTATGAAAAAATAATATTTTTCTTGGAACTGATACCATTTTAAACGAATTGGTACTCCGCGCAGAGTCAACAAAATGAAGAAGTTTCACGACCATGAGAAAGGGCGCGAGTGTCTGCGAAGACTGGAGAACGAGCAACGAAGAATGGAGAGTGGAGAGCGAAGAATGCAGCGAAGGAGAGCTGAGGTAGGTAATCAGAGCTGCTGGGTTGGCTGTATAGCTATTTCCCACAGCAGCTGGCGAAACCTTCTAAAAAGAGCGGTTTGAAAACTCCCAAAGGAGCGCCCCAAAGTATGCAACAATAGCTTTTAACACAGTAACTTTCGATTGGAGGTTCAGAGGAGCATGTTAATCAATTCCTCGCTGGATTCCTGGTGATCTCAGCTTGGCCAGTTGGCTACTTTCATCGGGAAGCGGCCAGCACTGGCGGGTAACTCGATCGCCGGCGGTGCAGACGGAGCTGCGTCAAGTGGCAGCATCGGCCAGTCGAGCTGTCTGCCGCAAGTCTGGTTTCTTCGGGTTCCCAGGCCAGAGTCCGGGGATCTGGTTGTCTGCCAATCGGAGGACCGTGGCTACTCCAATGACTCCGCAGTCCGCAGTCCACAGTCCACAGTCCACGACTTGTTCCCCACTCGCAACCATCGCATCCATTTCCACGCGGTCGCCCCGCTCGATCGAGACTTTGTTCACTTGAACGCGTCGACACTTCAGTAAATTAGTTTCGTAGAACTTCCACTGCGGCCCACACTGAGAGGAATTCCGCGCACCGAGCGGAAAAGGAAAGGGTCGTACAGTAAAATGTGTGTGAGCTGTGTACCTGCTTCGAAATACTGCCGTAGTTTTGGATTCGTTGCCCCTGCCTTTTCAAAACCTCTGTTTGGGAATTTGGTTGCGAGTGAAGCATAGTTGGTGGGTTGCGACTGGAAACCCGAATAGAGTGTCCCTATATCGCGGTAAAACCCCATCGAGGCCTTTCAAAGTCAACTCAAAAAGCGGATGAATAATTCCGCCTCGAAATTCGTGCGGGGTTGGAAATTTATTCACACAGAAACGTGTAATTACCCAGACACAAAACAGAGCAGAATCAGCAATGCACACAGACACATACACTCTCACACACACACACATACACGCTCAGGCACTTACCAATACTTAAGCAAACACTCACGCACACAGGCGAAAATTGGCAGCACAAAAAGTTCACTTCAAGTTCGTCTCTTTTCGCCTCGAGCGAAAAGTTCGAGGAAAAGTTTGGGGCGAAGGGGGAAAGGCGGAAAGGGGAAGGCGGCCTGGAAAAAGTGGGTGGCGGCGGAATGCGGGGGGCGTGGGGGCGTGGCAGCAGTCGGTGCTGCTGTTACTGGCATGGAAAATTAACAATTTTTCAATTAAAATCAATATGGAGTGTGTACTCGTAGTCGTAGTTTCCTTTTTTAGCTCGGCGCAGGGTTAAGGTGGGCGTGGCGGGCCAAGGGGGCGCAGAAGTGGGCGTGGGTGTGGCCGTGCTGTCTGCATGGGTAATCTGCATGTGTGTGTGTGTGTGTGTGTACATTTCAGGAAAATAGCTTAAGTGCCTGAAAATATGCAACGCATTCAACGAGCCAACTTTGGCAGTGTGCGTGTGTGTGTGTGAGTGCGTGTGTGTGTGAATTAGTGTCTGCTTGGAGGTGTGTGTGTGTGTGTGTCGGAGCGTATGTGTTTCTGTTTGTTTATGTATGTTTTGCGTTGTGTTGTTAGTTTTTCGGGCGCCGCTGCTGTCACTTCGAAAAGGCAAAACTCTACAGCTTTTTGTTCCAAATAATGCTGTTATTTTTAATGGCACTGTCTTTGTGTGCGTGTGCCTGCACTGGAGAAAAAACCACAAGCTCAGATGGGATATGTAGGCTCAGTAAATACGTACAGCAATTGGGAACTTAATGGCCTACATCACTTTGGGATAAAAGTAGTGGCTCCTTAAGAAACACTTGACTCCTTCAACATTCCAAATTTCCAGCATCGGAGTATAAGCACACTGGTTTTTCTTGCAGTGCCTATCTGCTTGTATTGGTGGGGTCGTGGCTCCTCTTGTCCTCCTTGTGCTCGTGCATCGTTTTGCGGTTGTTTCGGTCTCTCCGAGTATTTTGCGGCCGTCTAACTGTTGAGTCCTTTCCCCCGCTCACACACACACACACACACACCCACACACACGCACGTGAACCCACACAGATGGAGCGGGAATGGGGAGGGGGGAGGGGGGCTGAGCCGAGGATAGACTCCATTTGTGGGCACCGCAAACAACGTTAAATGCAAATTTACACTCCAGCCACTCCCACAAACTGATGTACAACTAGCGACGCTCCAAAGCGCCCTGGATTTGCCACACCCCCTTCGCCCCTTCCACCCGCTCTCTCCCCACCAACACCCCACACTAACACACTAACACACCAACACCCACACCCACACAGCTGTGCACACAAAATGGCCGTACTTTGGCGCCATTGCTTCACTTCAGTTGTCCTTCGCTCCTGGCTCCCTGCTCCCTGCTCCCTGCTCCGTGCTCCGTGCTCCTTGCTCCTTGTTTTTGTTGACTATTGCCGTTATTGCCAAGTCGGAGTGGGTCGGAGTGAGACGGAGAACGGCGGCAGGGGGGTGATGGGGGGCAAGAAGGGGGCTCCAGTGGCCAGAATTGAAGTGTTAGTAGTAATGCTACTAATTGGACTCGCTTTTAGCAACGCTTCATGTGCCCCCAAGCAATCTCGATCCCGAGAACCCAATCCCATCCCAATCCCAATGCCAGAGCTCCTTCAAAGTGCTCCACACACACACACACACACACACACATGCACTTGTGCACAGTGCCACAGCAGCAGCAACACCAACACCAGAGCAAAACCAGCACAAGTGCGGGTGTCCTTCTCCGAAGTCTATAATTGGAAAATTTTACACACTCGAAATTCAATTTCAGCTGCAGAATATCAGTTGAATGGCGGCGAGTGGGCGGTGGGCGGTCGGTGGATGCCCGGGGAATTAGTGGAATTGCATGCCGGCGATATGTTTAATTAGCAGCGATCACAGAAACAGATGCAACTCTGATTTATGGAATGGAGCCTTAACTCGGCTGCCAGCTCAATTTGACCACCGATCAACGGACTATTCTGCCCTGGGGTAATAACCAAAACTATAGTAGTCTACCTGCAAATTATTGGAAATCCTTTTGGGTTATTATTATTATGAGAAAGCTTTCCGAACAACTTGTTATTACGTATATCATCAGTTTCGGGGTTCGATGGCCTTACTCCAGAAATGGTAATATGGAAATGAGCGTGCATTTAAGTGCCCGGATCCTTGAAGTGCCTGCCATTAGCATTCCAGAAAAGAGCCGGAGAGCGACTGCGAACCCGTCCGCTCGACGATTCAGGACTTACAGCTGGGAGAGTGGTAAAAAAAAGGGCAAATTCGCCAAGAAATCGCGCCATAATTACTCTTTTTTCAGTGCTAATTAAACACACACAGTCGTTTTCGGGTTCGGCTTTTAAGGGTGGCAATTTGGCTTAACTGAAGTTCACTCAATGCAAGCACACACACACACACACACACAGAGAGTACACACACACACAGAGAGAGAGCGAGCACACAGACAGGGTATACTTGTCTCGCTCACTCCCGCGGTCCTGGGACTTAGAACAATAACGGCCATTAAAATGCTTAATTATAAATTCGCAAACGTTGCTGAAATTTTCTACGTTTTTTCCCCAAACCTCGGTGGTTCCCCCTTCCCCTTCCACAGCTCCCTCCCTCGCCATCTCCCTCGCACCCTATCGCCGTCTCACTTGCCCAGCGTGAAGCGGACGTTAAATGATTTCCGGATTCTGCGTTGTTCGCAGTGCTGAGCACACTTTTACCTATGCACATTCCACATTGTTCTTTAAAACCCAATTAAGTGCCAGTTCCCGAAAGTGTTCCCCCGAACTGCTGTTAAATTTGTTAAATGTTTTCAAATTATATGTATGTGCTGGTGTCAGGTAATCCACTTTTAAATGCAGTAAATAATAGTGGAATTAGTCACAGTGTTTTGTGGGGAAGGAGAGCTCGAGAATGCGGGGAACTTGAGATCAAGCTGCACTTAAGATTGGCTTGCCGAGACGACGAGTGGAGTGGAGTGGAGTGCAGCTCCCCAACTGAAGGAGGTGTGAAAAATCAGAGCGAAGACATCCAAACAAGCAGATGACGAACCGAAGACAAAGGATCTCCATCTCGATCTCAATCTCAATCTCGATCTCGATTCGAGGGGAAATGCAAATTGCGCGGCCGAGTTTTTGTTTTGCCAACAGCAAACACCTCCGCGGCGGATGTAATTAGTTCGTTAATTCTTTGGGGAAGAGCTCGTAGCGAGGAGCTCTGGATGCGAGAAGACAATGCCCCATATCGGGTTACCCAACAGGCAGCAGAAGGCTGACTCACCTGTATGCGATCCTCGGGCAGCTCCGTCTTCAGGGACAGCATTTCGCGGGCGTAGACGTCGGGGTAGTGGGCTTCCTTGAAGGCCTCCTCCAGCTTCTCCAGCTGGTAGCTGGTGAATATGGTGCGGCTGTGCCGCCGCTTCTTTTTCTTCTTCTTGCTGTTGGGACCCACGCCGAAGCCGTTCAGCCCGTCCATGCCGAAGTCCTTGGGCGCCAGGGAGCCTGGAAGAGTCCGAATTGCAATCAGCATTAATGTTGGAAAGTAAAGTTACGAAATACAGAATAAGCAACATATTCTAGCAAGCGATTCCAATCGGTTTCTTTGAAGGCAGGCAAGTATCCCCCTTCCGATACTTCCGATATATATATACATATATATAGTCTTGTCAAATTAGTTGACGAGAGTCCCACGACCGGTGCCGGAAAACACATGGCGCTGAAGCGCGACTTGAAGTGGTTTCAGTGGTTTGTTATTTTAATATTTAATAATTGTATCTAGTTTCCCACTTGTCTGTCGCTTACGTTCGCGCTCACGTTTACTGCTCGTTTTGGGCTTGTCACACACATCACTGTTGTTCCGAGGAAAACCCCACTTGAGAGGCTGTCGAAAGCGGGGAAAGTGAAAGCGTCGGAGGAGGAGGAGGAGGACGCCACTGGATGGCAATGGGGATGGAGACTCGGATCGAAGGAAGGAGCTGACAGGCGTTGACAGGCGCGATTTGCGTTTTCGATGACTGCCAGTGGAGTAATTGCACTGAGAAAAAGCAACAGCAGCTGCTTCTCTTTTAGGCAACTATTCGTTAGTCTCAATGGGATTCGGTTATCCGTTTCGCACTCAAATCACACTCTTTTTCTCTCTGTGCGCGCTCAGAGTTGAGCGGCCTGAGGATGAGTTAAGGACGCAGATGAGTCGGGGACTGGAGATGGAGATTGGAGATGAGTCGGAGTCTCGGGATTGAGGCCACTTGGCGGATTCGAGGCCTTCGAGGGTTGGCAAGCGGCCGTGTTTTGGCCAAATCGAACTTGTGGCCTGAGCACCCGGAAAACACAGATGCACAGTGCGGTGATCGAGTGGTCTGGACCACTCCACTCCGCAGTTTGGAAAGTATGGAAAAGTATGTGGAAAAGTATGGAAAAGTGCGGAAAACAAAACACACACGCCAGAGCCACATTCGTGCAGCCATAAACGGCCAGAAAAAACATTTCGCATTGAAATTCGATACGAAAAATGAAGTAGAAGCAGGCTGTTGTGCTGACGAGTTGTTCAAGTGAACCCCATTCCCATTCCCATCTCCCCCTACCCCATCCCCCTCCCCATCTAGATGCCACTTCCCGCCCGATTTTCCCATTATTTGTGCGTAAAAAATATCTCCGGAGCTGCTAGTGAAAATGCGTGTAATGAAGGCCGAAAATTGCATCTTGAATTACCAAGCAAAATGCAGTTCACTAGGGGAATTCAAGGTATGCTAAAGGAAATTTAATTGTTCGGATTTTTCGGCAAAAAAGAACTCTGTGCGAGGGTCGCAATTATTGGGTGTATATTTCACGGTCAGTATTTAATTAAAACACTACAAAGGCCTTCATTTTAACGAATGCTTTTCACAGCTCCGATTTTTACTTTATTCCCGACCAATTTCACTTTTGAGAAATGCATTTTCGGTAAATTGAGTTTGGCTCTATTTGTGTTTCATTTTTCTTCAACTTTAGTGAATTATTTGTGTTGCCTATCTTGTGCAACTTGGGACTCAAAAGGTTATCGGCATCAGGAAAATAAATGTACCATAGTTTGCTGTTAGAAGTTTTCATCATTGTATAATAATTGAATTTACTTTCAATTTCCGTTGCGAACAATAAATACTGAGAAATACGAACTCGGTGATTAGTTAATTCGGGAACGCAGAAAAGTAGGCAACGTCGAAATTCTCTGCGCTTTTAATGAGCTCATACACACGCACACATTGAAAGCTGTGCCAGCATGCCAACGTGCATACTAACACAAGCACACACACACACACACACATGCATCACAACATATTAGCAATTAAAATTTTCTTAGTTAATTACTTTAAGCAGACGACGACGAAGGATGAAGGACGAAAGGATGTCGGCGACGTCAGCTGGGAAAAATGCCAGAGCGAAAATGTCCCCAGCCAAATGAAAGGCGACAACATTCTTCGGTCTCCCTCGCTCCCGCTTCCGCCCCCCTCTATTTTTCTCTTTCTTTCTCTGTCTCGCTCGCTTGACTTTCGCACAAAGGAAGCCGTTCCGTTCCCTCTCTTTCTCGCCTGGCAAGTGAATTTTATGAAATTTATGCGCATTTCACTAGAAAATTTAATTAGGAAATCTAATTTGCTCAAAAGCGCATAAAAAATGTTGTCGCTTCTGAAGGGGATTTTTCGCCCCACGCCGCTGCTTAATTTTCCCAGCGCTCCGCATTCTCGCCGTCCCCCTCTCCATCTCCATCTCCATCGCAGTCCCCACTTCCCCTTCCGTTTCATTCCATGGTGTTCCCCTCACTGGCTCGTTTTGTAAGCTGCACCATTTTTGTTAGTCAGACAAAGTTACAGGGAGAGAAACCTGCTGTTCCGGCTTGCACTAAAAGCACGTTCGAGTGTGTCAGCTAAAAACAGCTAAAATTTCGAAACTTATTTTCGAAGCTTAGAGCTTCGAGCTCCTTCGATACCTCCCAAATCAGCGCATTAATTAGGATCCCCTAATTAAGATCCTCTTTCAGCTAAAACACACTTAACACATTCTCCCGATAAATATCCAAATATTTTTACCGTGTGGCTTTTCCTCCGCCCCACTCCCTCCGCACTCTCCGCCCAATTTTCGCCCCTCCCCCCACTTTCCCCGCCCATTTCTCGCCATGCATCAAGTAACCAACAAAATGACTAATTCCTCGTCTGTGTGCTGGTGTGCTAGTGTGCGAGTGGGCGAGTGTGCGTGTGTGCATGTGTGTCGCATAAACAGTTGCATGGCAAAATACGCTAATAAAGTGGCTGAGTTGTTGGCAACGCGGCAGCGACGCGGCTGCGCAGTCGGCGCCGACAGAGGCTGCGGCAGAGGCAGCGGCGACGTCACCGTTGAAGGGGCATTCGCAGTTCGCAATTTGCATTAGCACCAAAGTGGCTGCGTTTTTGTGCATGTGTGCGACTGTGTGGGTGTGTGTGTGGATGTGGGTGAACTGCCATTCGGGTTTTCGCTTATTTTTCGTACGCTTTTTCCGTACTAATTAGAAATGAAATTGAATTATTTGCTTGAGGAATCAAACAGAAGCCACAGCGCAAAAACCAGAAAGAGGCTACGCCGAGTGGACCAGTAAATGCTCCAATTAACAACTTTGATAACTCGCTGTTTGATGCCGGAAGGTGGATTTCGGAAGGTACTTGATGCTGGGACGCAGGACTCGTTCGACAAGCGACTGGCTCGCAGTATTAATACCTAATTTAAATTAAGTATTCGTCTGATTGTCTTCTAAGATAGTTCAATACGTAGTTTGGAGTGTTTAGAGGCTATGTTGTAAACCTGGCAATTTCAAAGCCAATTAAAATAAAAACAATTTGCATTCTCAAGCAAGGAACACAAAAGGACTATAAGGACGCTTTATGGACGGAAGAGTACTGGCCTAAATTTCCAGTTTAATCAAATTTTTAACTGGAACTGCAGCTCTTGTTTGGCCGTAGTGGCCAACACTGTGAAAAAAGAGAGGCGGCGCAGAAGCGTTAGTGGCAACAGCAATCACGTTAACCAACTTTGACACAAAGCCGGCTAAAACGCTGCCTTCACCTGGGCCATTCGGGTGGAGTGAGTGGCAGTGGGTGGCTGTGGGTGGCTGTGGGTGGCTGGTTGGGTTAGTGGGCGGAAACAATGGAGCGAAGAAGAAGCAGTCACACGACAAGCAAGGAATCTAATTAACAATTTTCCATTGAGTGCGCAAATTACGAGGAACAGGAACAGAAGCGAGGGATCCGGCAGTCCTGTCCCGAAAGAGACGGCAAGAGGGATGCCGAAAGAGATGGCGAGTGGGTCGGAGGGTCGGAGGGAGGGAGACGGGGAGAGACGGAGGAGGCAGGCAGACAGGAGCAATTAGACGGGGACGAATGCCGGACAATGTCAAGGCGAGTTTTCAGCATAAATTCCAGACAAAGTCGATTGGGAAACTGGAGTTTTCAGTTTGGGAAGAAGTTGGGCCAAGAGCTGGCATTCAACCCATTGGAAGACTCGTAATTTTGCAACATACTTTTCCATAAAGAAGCTGATGTCTTCATCGATTTGGCTGTATATAGTAGCTAACCCTTGCCACCCCTTCCGGTGTTCCGGTGTTCCGGTGAGTGAGTGTTAACTCGGCTTTATCACCCCGACATCCGACATATTCACGTATTCGGTCAACTGGTACGACGTGAATCGCAATTGGTCTCGCTTCACACATGTCACACTTGTACAAATGTGTGCCGTGTGTTTGCCCAAACATCTCCTTTGCGTTGCTCGTCCTGCGTGTTTCAATTAAGCCGAACGATTTTCCGGGGGCCCTCGCTTCGACATGGCCAGCAAATAAAAGTTAGACACGCTTCCAGGCAAAGGATTCTCCTGGGGTAACACAATGCAGCGAAGGAGGAAAAAATGCCAATTAAAATCTTAGCCATGACAAGTGCAACACGATGGTGCAACAGCCCCCCACCCCCTCCCGCTTTCCCCGGCAACAGCCTTCGCTTCCAGTTTTCAAGGCAAATTGCCCTACTTGTCAGTCTCTCGGCTCCTTCGCTTTTCCTCGGCTTTTGTGTAATCTTGTCTTGCAATCTGCTCGCAGCAAATGGCTCAAAAGTGGCTGCTCCTCCCCCCCCCAGCTGCGAGTTTTCCCGGCTTTCCTCTGGAAGAATGCAGGCGTCGAGTGGAAGACTTAAGCAGGGCACTTCGCCCATAAAAACAGAATGGAAAGAATGCGCGGCCAAGTGGCCAAGTTCGTGTTGCCGGGCCCAGAGATTAGAGTTTAGAAGGGCCCACTACACTGCAGCAACATTGTCGGGGCAACATGAACGGCAGCAACATCGCCTCAACAGCAGCAACTTCAACAGCAGCAACACCAGCTACACCATTGACAAAAGGGCAATTAAGTAGGCCCGAGATCTCGTCAGAAGGAGTCAAGAGCCCCGCGAAGGACCTAGATAAAACAATCTAAGGAAGCCTCGTGCTTAAATAAAAATGTGCTCCTTATCCCTGCAAAGTGGGAAATAAACAACGCAACAAAATATAAGTTTAAGCATTTCGAAACGAGCTGCAGGATTAGAGGAACTCCCTTTCAATGAGCTTTTCTTTTTGTTTCATTAGAGCCGAGCAGCCAACTAATTATGGTATCCAATAAGCCTTTAGTAGATGTACGCAGATGTCCTGCAGCTTCGGTTTTAGGTACTCAGTTTGTGGCGATGTCCTGGCTTTTGGTGCGCTTCAATTTATTGGCACACTCAGTGCGGCCTTTCCCTCTCTCCCTCTCGTTCTCCCTCCCACTGGCCAGCACTCCGCTCGGCATCCTTCGAACCAGTTTCCAGATCCTTTCTTATTAGACAAGTTTATGTGTGCGCTCCGGTTATGTGTTCTCGCTCCGGTCGAAAGGGGTAAGGGTTGGAAAGAGACGACGCGATGCGGTGCGAGCGAGAGGGAGCGACACGACGACGAAAGGACGACAGGACGACAGGACGAAAGGACGTGTGAGGATGTGGGGAGAGATGTATGCGCGTGCAAATTGCGTATAAAAGCGTATGTTGAAAATATTTATTGCCCGTTACGAATGCAACAAAATGAAAATGGAAATTTCATTATTTGACTTTCGTCGCTCGCATGTGTGTTTGTTTAAGTGTGTGTAAGTGTGTGTGCAAATGTGTGCGTGTGGGGTTTTCCTTTTGTTTTTTCGTTAGCTAAATTGTTTATTTTATTAGCAATTTGGAGAATTTATGTGCGCGACATGTGAAATTTACGCTTCACCCTTTACCCTCCACCATTCCCCATTCACCATTCACCATTCCCCATCCACCATTCACCCTGTGCCCTTGGCCCTTGGCCACGCCCCCGCCACAGGACCTTCGGGAGGCGGGATCCATGGCTCGAAATGAAGCGCAGGAATGCCCATTAATTAGGCCGAGTGCCGAGCTGGCGCCCCCTGTTGGCCTGTTGGCCGAAGGACATGCAGCTTTTTTCGACTTCCTTCACCGAATGGAAGAACGAGTTGCAGTGGAAGGACTCCAGGATGTATGGCCTACCTTTGGGCTTCCCCTAAATTCGCTGGTCACTCGCACCGCGATCGTACTCACCAGGCAAACAAGTTCCGGCTGCCGCGGCGAAGCTCTTCAGCTGGGGAAATCCTGAAATGAAGAGGGGACTCAAGTTAGAAAGCTGGTTACATTTGGTTTGTACCTATGTCTACTACTCCTTTAGAGCGATATATTCCGGCATTCAAAGCTTAATTAATCAGCATCAAAGATTCGGTTACAGTTACACCATGAAAACCACTTCGGTGGCCTTTAAAGCGAGCACCCACCGTACAGTTGGACTCTTTGCATTTATTAGCCAGAGGAGGACCTCCGAAATACACCCCTCAGCCAAGGAAATCGGGAGGAGAGTGTTGCATGCACAAGGCGACCCCCTTGCTCGCGAAAATACACTGAGAACTATTTCAGAGTCACTTCTACGAAGCATTTTAGAGACTTCTACTTCAAGTATATATATGTATATATATATATATATATATAGACCATTTCATACAACTGGTGTTCCTTGTTTTCTGGGAAGCATCCGAAATGAATATAGTTTTGAACAGGGACCGACTTTTCTCTGCGTGTCGCCGATACTCAGAAATGCAAATCGACGACCTCGGTGTCGAGATCGAGACAAGCTCTCCTTGCAATCCCAACCCCTGCCCCTGTCCCACCCCCTCGACCCCTCGACCCCCTGACCCCCCGACCCCTTCACCGAGAGAAGGAGTAACATATCAAAGCAAAATCAAATTTGACAGACAACCGCGCTAATTTCTGGCCGAAGTTGCATTGTTTCAAGGCGTTCGACTCGTTCGAGTTCGCTTTTGATTTCGCTTTTGCTGTGGATGTGGCTTGTTTCTCGCTCCTGGCTTTGTTTTTCGAGATTCTGAGGGGAATCAGAACTGGATCGGATCGGTCGGACCGCCAGCTTGAGCTTGAAACCGAACAGAACTGAAAATGGAGCAGAAAGTGGGACGCGGACTGGCATTTCCCTCAATTGTTTCACGGTGACGCATAGTCGAGCACAATAAAAATGGGAATGGGATTGGGAATGAGACCTCGACATATGCCAACAATAACGACGATGGTGATTATTATGTCGACAATCAAACCGCATTTATTAGCTCTCTACCAGAAATTCCGATTGCGATTGCTATTGCCATTGCCGATGAAACCCGATACGGCAGTATGTGCGCGAAATTTCTCTGGAGAATCGCTGTGGAGAATCGCTGAAACAAAGGAGGGAGACTGCAAGTGACGAAGTACTTATAAATTGATTAACGCTCGACAATGGCTGATGTGGGTCGTTTGGCGCGGAGCTTGGGGTAAGTATGGAAAAATACGGAAAATAGCGGGCAGTCGGGGGTTAAGAGCGGACCGCACAAGGCGATCGTGGAGCGTGTGGGTCGGGAGCACCGTGAGCATCGCCAACCGGCGACCTAAACTTGCCACATACGAGTAGACTTGGGAGTCGTGAGGGAAAAGCAAGTCAATTAGTGAAACACTCACAAAATGCAATGCTATACGTTCAATCACTCAAATGATACAGGTAATAAAGCCAATTTATACAAAACCGCACGAAAACAAAAGTCCAAAATTTTATGGAATTCTAAAGTAAACTTACTCACAACCTACTGCAGATAAGTTACTTTTCAATCTGACTTAAATTATTAAAGTTATGGTTACTAGAAGTGCTGGTTTCAGGGGCGGATACAGGTATCTGCCTGGGGGGGGCGATCAAAATTTTTTTTAAACAATGCAAGTAGCAGGTGGCAAATAATCAAAAATTATACGCAGTTTTATTCAAAACACTCTGTACAAATAAATTAATTAATTTTAATCTAAATGGCGAATTCCATTATTCTTTTCCCTCTTTTTAAAAACTTTTCTATAACTCTCTCGATGTGAATACTGATTTCGGAATGCGTATGTAGCAATGCTAGGCTAGTTAGTCTTAGGAGGAGCGATAGACAAGGGAAGAAGTAGGGCAAGGAAGGACTGGCGACACGCTGTAACACGCAGGTTTCCGAAGTTCACGCCAGTGAAGCACCTTTTTCAGAAGCTGAGGGGGGCGATCGCCCCTATCGCCCCCCTGTATCCGCCACTGGCTGGTTTTTGATCACTTTTCAGCAAACCCATTTTTTTTTTTTAATTGATAAGGGGTTAGGTCATAAAAATTGCAAAACATAAAAATAAACAATCAACCAATGATGCAGTTTTCTAGGGAATTGAACTACAAGCTTTTTGAGGCATGTCACTCCAAAATCAAATAAGTAAAAAATTATCTATGGTGATGAAGTTAAACCGCAATTTGGCAAACTAATTTTTTTGAAAATTGAAGGGGTTGCTCAGAGGTACTATATATCACATCAAATATCACATGGATTGCAAGTGGATGAGTTAAGCGGTGTGGGATTTTCTGCAAAGCCATCTATTAGATATTTGGAGGAGCCATTAACCCAGTGATTTGGACGGTATAAAAAGCGATAAAAAGCGGAGTGAATAGCCGAGTCGCAGTGCCATTTATCTGGCAGCCAGCAGTCGGTCGGTCGTTCGAACATGTGAATCACATCGTGTCCACAATTGAAACAATTTCCAGCCGAAAAAGTGCTGAGTAGCCACTCCAAATAGCCAGGTAGATGGCCATGCCATGAATAATTAGCAGTAGTAGTTGTTGATTGTCGGTGTTGCTGTTGTTGCTGTTGCTGTTGCTGTTTGGATGTTGCTGATGGGATGTTGCTGCTGCCGTTGGACAGTGAAAGCAGCCAAATTCCGAATTCAAATCCAAATCCGCACCGAAATCCCACTTTCGAGCCGCTGAGGAAGCGGACTCAAGTGCCAAATCGTGTTTATTTGCGTTACAAAATTAGCGCAGCGCAGCGCCTTCTCCGGAGGGGCCTCCCTCCTCCAAAAGGGGCTTATGTGCCGCGGATCCCCCTCGACGACGCTCCTGAACTTCGGGGCACGAATTGCCCGGCTCTGATTGCCATGTGACGGGGCACAAATCCGCCTTATGAATACATGAATACGAATGCGAGTGCCCCGAGTATGGTAAACTCATGGAAACAGATTTTCAATAAATGTATCTTTAAAACTTGTCTTCGAATGTGAAAAAGCTTTACTCAAGGTATCCGAAATGAGTGTAGTGACTAAATCGTATTTTGAATCGGTTGAAATAGGCAGGCCCCACTGTACTCCACAGCATAGTTATCGCTTTATTATTACTGTAATTTGTGATTATCGCGAATGAATTGCAAGCGTTCCGTTTGAGAAAATTTGAACGAGTTGCGGCTAATTCTGGCCAGTTCGCCTGGCTGTGAATCAGCTTCCACCCACACCCGCATCCACACTCGCACTCACACTGGCACACACTCTCCCTCACACACACACACACAGGGGCACGGACAAATTAACCCTTGAGTGGCACTCGGCACTTCGTTCGTCAAGTCGCTTTAATTGACTTTTAAATTCGCAAAAAATCAAAGCGAAAAAGTGTGACAAAGTGCCAAAAAAAAAACAAAAAAAAAAAAAAAAAGAGGAGAGTGTGAAAAGGTGGGCGGGGAGGGGGAGGGGCTGAAAAGTGCAGCAACAACAATAACAAGAACAACAAATGAAACAATAACTGCACTCGTGGAACGCCGACGCCGAACATTTTCACACCTCAGACAATAAGGATTTTCGAAAGGGGGAGGAGAAAAGAGGGCGAGAAAAGGGGGTGGTAGGTGGGCAGGGTGGGGGCACACTCGATGGTCGTCCGCTCACTAAAAAAAATCGAAGGGCGTTCGCTGGCACTTTCCCCACCCACTCTCCGCACCTCTCCCACCCACTTTCCACCCGTTCTTTTTCTTTTTCTAATCTACGTCAACGCAAAATCAAAGCAATGTCAAACGACGACCGCACACATTGTCCGCGGCGCAACTACAATTAAGAGTATTTTTATCAGCCAAGGAGACGCGACGGAGTGAGTACAAGTGAATACGAGTGAGTGTACTCGGTCAGGCTATTAGCAAAGTGGCTCAAATATCAAAGGGCAGCAATTAGCAGCAGGAGCAGGAGTCTTCGTCAGTTGCAACACTTCCCGTCGCCCCGAAACCATCAAGTGTCTATTCCTAATATATAGTATATATATTCCTTAAATAAATAAATAACCCTATGCCAATTAAGCCACAGCAACTACAGCTGATCTGATGAATAGAATGTGTAATTAGTAAATCATAAACTGGCGGCAATTATTTGACAGCTTTCGGCGCCGCACAAAAACCGAAAACCCGTCGAATCGAAATTTAGAAAAACGCTAAATGGTTAATTTCGAGCGGCAAGGAATTTACCGAAATATTCGCAACAACAATAAACAATATTCGCAATATTCGTGTGGGGTGTGTGTGGGGTGTGTGGGGGGTGTGTGTGGGGTGTGTGTGGGGGGTGTGTGTGTGTGCTTGTGCGACGTTCGTTTGTCGGTGTGCAAACACATCAAAACGACTGTCACAACAAAGCGACGCGAGGAGCCAAAATGAAAATTGTCAATTAAATGTGGGGAAAGCGAAGAAGCCGAAAAACCGTTTTCGCCATTGTCGTTGGGCAACCAATTTTCCGACTCGGTTTTCCCTTCTGGTAAAAGATCAAAGGCACTTAATGGAAGGCGCCAAATACCCGGCTCCGGGCAGGAAATCCGCCGAAATCCGACCGAACTTGATGCGATTTTTTAATTGACGAACTGGCTGCGCAAGCGGGCATGAAATCAGCTCCACAAAACCAAACTGCGAGTGCGAGTGTCTGCGACATGGAGAGCAGAACGGGTCGACGATATGCAAAATTAAATACGATGACGCGAACGAAAAGCAACGAGGAGCGACTACTGAGAACTGAGAACTGAGAACTCCAATCGATGCTCGACTGGCACACACCCTGGAGTGGGAAATGAGAAGTGAAGTTTACACTGAAAACTTGGAGTTAAGCACTGAAATCCTCATCGCATATCAAGTACTGATAGTTTAGCTCGAACAAACCCTGTAAACATTCCGCACCAAGTTGAAATACCTTCTTTAGCAGCTTCCCACGTTCATTAGGCGCTGCTTAAGACGAGGCAGTGAAAAGCCGCGATGAGCGAAAATAGCGCTGTAATTAAGGTGGCCAGAACACCAAGGGCGGAAAGAAAGCTCCGGAAGGTGCAGAAAATAAAGCCAAAAAGGCCGGAAGTGACGGGATAAACAAATTCCGAGTCGAAAACTGAGTCGAACTGCTGTGAATAACGAATAATACGTCAAGTGCGCATCGAAATTGGCACAGTGAATCAGTGCGGAGCAGCAGAAGTCGGGATGGAAGATCGGAGATCGGAGATCGGCGATGACGATGATATTTCAACGCTAATTAAAATAATAATAACAAAAATAACAGCTGCCACTTGAAGCTACAAGATTATCGGAGCCCCTTTACAGTTTGCACAGAAAAAAAACAGCGATGGCTCTACAATGGGTTATTTATAACCAAAACAAAAATTTGGATATGAAAAGCATGGGTGTTTTACCAAATACCAAATACCAAATGCCAGCAGCACAACAGCTTGAGACGACTTTTTCTTTTGGGCACACTTTTCTTCGAGTGTATCCCCAGCACTCCTGCCTCATTTCTCTCCGTGCCTTTCTGCTCATCTGCGTCGGCTGTCATCGCCGACTTGGGATGATATTGCCACTTGCAAATGAGCTTTGGGTTTTCGCTCAGTGTGCGTCTGTCAACGGCAAACAAAGGCGCGCTTACAGTGGCACCAAGCACCCAAAAGTCAGCCACTTTTGATAATAATGTGCAGATAAAGAAGCGTGTTCCCTAATAATAATTCCCCAATGCACAACTAAATAAGAATAATCTTTTTAAATTCCTTTCAGCTACCTTCAGTTTACCCACGCACAGTGGACTTATTGGAGTCGCAGAGCACCACTTTGCACCACCGCCTCCCTCCCTCCCTCTCACACACACACACACTTACACACTGCAATTAGCAGCTCAGCTTGAGTGGTGCGGGGGGCGGGGTGGTGCTGTGCCCCCAAGTGGAGTGGCTTCGCAGGCGGACTGTAGTGGGCCAAAGCTGATTTGCTGATTCGCCTGGACGATGGCTCGTTGAATAATTCCTTTTTTATGCCGACTAAGCGGCACTCTACACACCGATTCGCCCCACTGTGCCACTGTATGGGTGTGCACTCATTGGCTGTGTGTGTGTCTGTGTTGGTTTGTCTGGCAGGTGACAAAACCAGTTGCGATTGTTAATTGCGTTTAAACCCTGAATGCCATTGTACGTTTGCACGGAAAGAAATGGAAATGGTTGGTCTTCGCATTAACTTCTATAAAGTTTCAACTGCTAGGAACCCTTATAGGATACTACTTGGATCTACACGTCCAGCAAAAAGTGATTGCCCGAATATTTGCAATTATTTCTATAAACTTGTAAATTATTTTTCAAATTAAATGTGTGAATATTGCGGCTAATTTTCTCGATTTTTATTTTAAGGCTGCCAGTCATTGGTTTTTATTTTGGCTTTTCTTTCGGTGTACGTGGTTTGTCGGTGGGTCGGTGGGTGTCTTGGTGGGGACAGTGGCTTACCCTGCGCGTGCAGCAGCGGGTGGTGCGGATGGTGCGGGTGGTGGTGCTGTATCGGCGGCGGCGGTGGCGGCCCCCCCGCGGCCCCGTGTGGGTGGTGGTGCGGGTGGTGCTGGTGCTGGTGCTGGTGCTGATGATGGTGGTGCACCGCCGCGGCCAGCTGGTGGGGCATAAAGGCCGCCGCCACCGCCGCATGGGCATTGAAGTAGGCCATTCGCGAGGCGGCCGCCATGGTCATTTGGTGGTGCTCCCTGTAGTGGTGGTGCTGCTGGTGGTGGTTGAGCTGTTTCTGTGGCTCCAAGCCACCCACTAAATTGCCCTCAGCCGCATTGCCCGTTGTTGTTGCTCCTGTTGTTGCTCCTGTTGCTGCTGTTGCTGTTGCTGCTGCTGATGTTGCTGCTGCCCCGCTGACATACGACGTTGCTGCAGTGGCTGTTGCTTCTGCCATCGCGGCATTTGTTGTCTTCGGCGGTGCTGGCGATTGGCGCTCTTTCGCCAGTGTTGTTGCACCGGCAACAGTTGCCGTTGTTGCCGTCGTCGTCAGGTCGGTCGGCGTTTCAGAGGCAGCTGCCACCGCCAAGCCCAGCAGCTCCTGGATGGCAAATGGTGAACGCTGCGGCATTGCTAATTGCTAATTGCTAGTTGCTAATATTTAAGGCTACGACTAAATGGTGCTGCTGTCAGCAGAGAAGCATGGTTCGGCCCAAAAAAAATATTAAAAAAAAACGAACTGCAAACAACAAAGAACTACGGCTACGTTGCAATGTTGCACGCGGGATGCAGTAGTGCGAAGTTGCGCCTGGCACGCGTCGCAGAAAAACACACAACAAATTCGCAATAATTTCCACGTTAAACTGTTGCCTGCCTTAATGTGCACCAGGAGTTTTGTCGTCGCAGTTGCTGTCGTGCTGTTGCTGCCGTAGTGTTGCTGCCGTGATGTTGCTGCTGGTGCTGGTGGTTGGCTTTCGACTTGGCTTTGCATTCCGCTCTGGATTTGGCCAAGGAGGCATTCAGCTAACAAACGGTAAACGGCCAGCGGAGCTTTGCTCTTCCGAGGACCTCAAATCATGGCAAACGCAGTAGCAACATCTGCAGCGGCAGCAGCAGCAATGCCAACGGCAGCGCGCTGGCTGCGGCGCCGACGTCGACTGCGCCGCCCGGCAACGGTAAATATTCAGGGGCGGTCTCTGTCGCACGCTAGCCGCGCTCTTTCCACCCCAACTGGTGCGAGCGAGGCAGCACCATGTGGGACTTCCCTCGGCAACATGGCGCATGTGCAGCATCTGTTCGCCATGAGAGCGAGGAGGGCAGCACTAGCCTTCCAAGCGGCAGCTAGCCGTGCTCTTCGCACTCACGGCCAGCCTTCCAGCTTTCCCTTGAACTTCCAGTTCTTAAGCCATCGTGAGTGTATTGGTGAGCCACAAGTCGTGGTATTGGTGTTGCGGCGTCAGAGTGTGCGGCACCCATTTTGTGTGAGTGAAAGAGGGCCAGGAAGAGAGGGGAGAGCGCGGAAGGGGAGCCCAAAAAAGATATCGAAGACTCGAACTCGCAGCTCGAACTCCTCTCCGTTCAATGAAGGACGCCAATTTATGGCCCAAAAAACAAGAAAGCATTCGGTTTTCAGCTGTAAAAACTACTCACTTGTCGGGCCGAATTGTCGCCCGTCTAACAATGCTTTCAAAAAAAAAACTGTCTAATTAAAATTTTCGCCAAAAACTTTTACTATTCGAATGCGTAAATTAGCATTTACACTTGGCCATGTATGCGCGTTCGAGGGAGAGTCCTTGCTGCGCAGTTCCGCAGGATTTTCGGGCCAGTATGTGGGTTAGTTATTGTTCTCAGGGAACTCGGTCTCCCATGGGGCAATTGTGCTGAAATTCGGTACTCGGACAGCCGGCTCTTCAGATGGCTTTACCAAATGGTTCGACATGATTTCGGGGCAAGTAGAGGAGCATACTGAGGGACTTGAACTTTAGCATTCAAAAAAAATCACAGGGAACAATCCGAAACTGAACTTTTATTGGCGTTGGAAAGACATGATCGGCTGCATCAGAAGCTCGCCAATAAGCGTGCAACGGTCCGTGCGGGGCCTTTCTCACGCCCCCACAGTGGGCTCCCCTATGGAGGAACCCACGCGGCAATTAGACAATTCAAATGCCAACGCTCACACGGACAAATTAGAGCGGATCGGAGCGGATCGAGCATCCGTCGGGCCACGCAGTCTGGCATCAAAGACAAGAGAGAGAGAGACGGAACACGAGAACCTCGGGAGAGAGAGAGGGCAACACTGGGAAGAAAGAAAGACAGACGACGGTGCGTACTAGAAGAATTCCGCGGAGTAACCCGATATTTTTTAGAGCAGGTCGCTCCGGATGATTCATTCGGTTCTGTTTCTGCGAGCTCTTCAGCAAACTCTCGTTTATTTGCCGGAATTTGATTGTTAATTAACTTGCAATTACAATCGCCGGGATCCTGTCAAAATAAATATTGAGTTTCGCAGACGATTATGGGTAATCCGATAGCCAGAGAGAGATATAGAGTTCCCTATTTCGACCAGAACTAGTTTTCACCTGGCGGTCATTGGCTACTGTTCAATGTTCAACGTTGGCGATTTATTATTTTTTACTGGGTCCTTCGGCATGTCCTTCGAGTTTGCAGAAGCTCAGACCTTTGTGCTTTTGTTTTGCAAATATTTTGACGTGCGAACGAGGGACTGACAACCCGACTACCTGTGGACAGTCGGGCTATATATCTGCAGATACACATAGACATAGGCACATATCAGTGTGTATATATTCGTATAAATTGTGCACGGATATTTGGATACCGGGTGCCCCGCTTCGAGTTCTGCTTCGAGTTGCTCTTCACATTTCTGGTAGTTGACGTGGCCCGCCAAATGATTCAATTATGCTCTCAAGTGCGAAAGTTGACCAAAATCGACTGTCAATTATGTGTCGAGATTTATTTACTTAACTATTATTGTCTTGGCACACACACAATACACTACGCACTCTGTGTGTACAATGGGAATTGGACAAACTTAATTATGAACAATTAAAGTTCAGTTACTTTTTGTGTAGGCTTCCCCCAGCGTTTTTCTCGATTATTTTTGGAGTGATGGCCGCGACTGACAGCCGCAATCGGGATTGCCAAAAAAAAAAAAATAATAAAAAAACAAAAAGCGTACAAAAATCAGTAATAAATAATAAGTCAAATGGCATAAATAACAACAAGCACATTGTTGTGTAATTAAGTTGTTAGCTGCGAACAAATCTCCGTAAATCTTCGCGGGGAGACGGGGGTGTTTTGGAGGAGCTTCAGACAATATTATTGTCACACAATTGTTGCCGTGTGATTAGTTGAAACTTTAATTGCACCACAATGGCATAATAACAGCGATAATGGCCCAAAAAGCTAAGAAAAATTGTGGAGCGAAGGCTTTCAAGCTTATAGTTCGGCGAGGTTTGAATACTCTCACAAAAATATGCCGTTCCTAAGTGTTTATAGATTTTATTATGAATATACATAAAGAATCAAGTATCCGCATATTTCATCAATTTTGTTATGAGAGGATGGAAGTAACAACATGTGAATTTTAAATGGGGAACGTTTCGAGTTTCGGTACCCCCAATTATTTTATAGGGCATGCTAAATTGAGTTTACCGTACAAGTGGTGGCAGCTTGGTATTAGCCGTGAATTATAATCGTCATTATCATATCACAATTATTTATTTATTGTTATTGTGGCTGCTATTTCCCTGGCTCCGTCTATTGTTGTGTGTGCTGCTGATTTCGAGTTAAGTTTTCAATTATTTAATTGTTTATTTCGCTGGGTAACGTGAGAAAATTAATTTCTGCCTTTGGCAAAGGCGAATTGTTGCCCGCTGCTTACAGGTGGCGCCACTGTTGCGTTTATGGCTAATTTTGCACAGAGCCAATCAGAGATTCCTTGTTTTGCGGTTGGTTTGTGTCCTCGCTAAGGAGTACTTGGGCGGCAAAGTTAATTAGTAAAAGTTTTCGAGTATTAATTAGCACAAAGTCTGGGTTTCCTGATACCTGAATTCCGCATACTTTTCTTATCTAAACGTTTAATTTGAACTGCAGACTTAAGTGCAGAAAAAATACAACCTTTACCATAAAAGCACAGTCTATATATGTAGATTGAAAGCTAGCATTTGTTTTTCGGCAACCTACTAATATCATTTTGGATGTCTAGCAGTTGTTTTAGCTTCATGCTGTTGAGAACACCGCCGCAAAACGCACTCAAACGAAACAATACAGAAGATGACGCCTCAGAATGACGGGGATGGAGGTCCTTTAATGGGATTATCTGCACTAATTTCCACCCAACAAAAAGTAACAGCCGACTTAAAACTGAAAATACTCGATCACCGTTTGTGTGAGCGACGGGAAAAATGATTTATCATTTAAGAACACTCGAGTGTGAAGATGCTTGCTGACAGGGCTAGGCTATATGCTATATGCTCAGTTCTTCGACTGGGTGGGTTTCGGTGCATACACGGAGAGAAACAACATTTTCATTTGTATTCTATCCGTGAAAACGTGTGTTAATTGCGGCAGAGGTACAGCACGCAAGTTGAAGGCAGAGAGGATCATGATTTGTTCACTTCTTGCTTCCCAAAATCGCCCCCCCGTTTCTCGCAGTGTACCACTATATCTGGCTGTGTGAGCTACCGAAGTGGCCGAAGAGTGTGCTCGACAATGACGACGAACCAATTTATGGGACAGGCTTTCGAGCCGGCACTTGAGTAAACCGAAAGGCAAACACTACACCACTACACACACAGCCGAGCACCGAACTATGCGAGCGGTGGTATGGGGTGTGATTCGGTGATTAGGGGTGGTGGCAACCCTGTCCGCCGCCTTTCGGGTGGTTGCAGCCCCGAACTAGAAAATAGGCAACAAAGAGCTGGAGGGCCGGGGCAAATTAGTAGCAGCACAACAGGAACACAATTACAATATCGAAAATAAGGGAGCGAGCGAGCGGTGCGGAATCCAAAATGGCCGAACTCCAGCTGAAGTGTAACGGAAGAAGTGGCCGGCCGGCCGCTGAATTCACTGCTTACCGCCGATGGCCGACACACTGGCAAAATCCAGAACAGGGTAATCCGGAGTAAAAAATATTGAAAGGCATGCGAATTCTGCTATTACCTAATATTACAATTAGAGATCCTGAAACCCTTATCCTCAAAAAAAATTTAGTTGCAATTTGAAAGCATCAGCAAAAGCTTATCAAAGTTACTAAAATTAGATATATTTTTTCCCAAATAAATCACCTGAAAGAACATGGTTACTGAGTTCTTAGTTAACCCTCGATCGGCTCAGTGTAGCTCTGCGACGACGGCTCGCTAATGATGATGGAAGGTCCCGCGCCGCGTTTATGGGTTAATCAAATTGTATGAGCGCGACTCAGATATGCAAAGCAGCCTTCGGGGGCAAGGGAGTGTTAAGCGGGAGTGGACTGGGAATCGGAATGGGAAGTGGACTGGGAAGTGGACTGGGAAGTGGATTGGGAAGTGGAAGTGGGAATGACTTCAATTAGACGCCTGGTTTTCGGTGTTTTCGATGGTGGCGGTACTTGGCAGCCAACCAAAAGGGGCGCAGTTCCCCGAACACCGAGCATTATAATAAAACGAGAGAAAAAATACCGAGTGCGGAGTGGAGAAAGCAGAACACAGAGCTCGGAACTCAGAACACAGAGCACCGAGCACAGAAAACATGGCAGCTCGCTGGGCGAAAAAAGGGGAAGGCAGCCACTTTGAATTGTGGCAAATTGCAGGCGTTTCCGCCGCTGCCATCATTACTTATTATTTGAGCTCTTGCCCGTGCTCCCTCAACATTTTCTCTGGCATTTTATTTGTTAATTTTCAAATCAGAGTCGCGTGCAAATTTGATTATTTCGCCTTCAAGCTGTGACCCACGGAGTTTCCAGGGGCGTTCTTCAGTTCTCCGTTCGCAAGAGTTGCCAACATTTTTTTGCCGCTCTTCGAATTTTTTGTGAAAAAAACTCTTTTGTTCGAGCTCG